TGCTGAACCTGCTTCAGCTGGTCATTCAGACACTGTTTGTCAGGAATCAACCGACTCAACCACTGCTGAGACTCCTGATGGGGACAAAAGAGAGAGAGAAAACACATGAAATATTCTGCTTACTTTCAACAGAGCTGTCACAAATCAAGCCTCTGTGGCTCCCTCCGATCACCACCAGAGGGAACCGTCACCGGAGTACTAACTGTTCTTAAGGACTTCATTTCCCTCGTTTGGCAGTGGCAGCATTAGACAGGCATCCTTTGGGCTCCGGCCGGATTCAGTTCATCACAGAGGATTTATCCCTACGCACAGGGGGATTTATCTCTCCACACTGAGACGATCCGTTTATTTGTTTTCCAATCCCCTCAGACGCCCATTATCCTGGGACTGCCCTGGCTCGAGAAGCATAACCCGTGTATTTCCTGGTCCAAGAAACAGATAACTCAGTGGTCTGAATCCTGCCGCCAACATTGTCTGAACCTGACTCCCCACGAGACAGAAAATAAGCCCATCACTGCACCCAAAATCCCCATGGAGTACCAAGATTTAATCGAGGCTTTCAGCAAAACTAAAGCGTCACAACTACTTCCCCATTGTTCAAGTGACTATGCTATCAACCTTCTATCTGGTTCACATCCCCCCAAAGGCCGAGTTTTTCCCCTGTCACAACCCGAGTCTGAAGCCATGAAATCATATATCGAGGTGGAATTAACTAAGGGCTTCATTCGACCATCCACCTCACCTGCTTCAGCCGGATTCTTCTTCGTTAAAAAGAAGGATGGAGGTCTTCGTCCTTGCATTGACTACCGTGGTCTCAACGAAATCACTATCAAATTCCGTTACCCCCTACCACTAGTCCCAGCAGCCTTGGAATAACTGCGGACGGCCAAGTATTTCACCAAGCTTGACCTTCGCAGTGCTTACAATCTCATCTGTATCCGGGAAGGTGATGAATGGAAGACGGCCTTCTCTACTACATTTGGGCACTACGAATATCTTGTTATGCCGTTCGGGCTGTCCAACAGTCCTTCTGTATTTCAAGCATTCATCAATGATGTGTTCCGAGACATGCTAAATCGTTGGGTCATCGTATATATAGATGATATCTTGATCTACTCGGACTCCTACGAGGATCATGTCAAGCATGTTCGTTCTGTTCTCCAGCGTCTCATTACCCATCAACTGTATGCCAAGACTGAAAAGTGTGAATTTCACCTGAGCACGTTATCATTCCTCGGGTATGTGATCAGCTCGGGAGGGGTAGCCATGGATGACAAAAAGGTGCAATCCGTTGTTAAATGGCCTCAGCCTGCCACTTTAAAGGAGTTGCAACGCTTTCTGGGATTTGCTAATTTCTATCGACGATTCATTCGCAGTTTCAGCACAATTGCAGCACCCATGACATCGATGATCAAGAGGGGGAGACAGCGTCTCGTCTGGACACCGGCCGCCAGTTCCACATTCCAAGAACTTAAGGAGAGATTCACCACCGCTCCCATCCTGCATCATCCCGATCCTGAACAGGAGTTCATTGTGGAGGTGGATGCTTCCAGCACTGGTATCGGCGCTATTCTCTCTCAGCGACATGGTACTCCTCCTAAACTGTTCCCTTGTGCATTCTTCTCTCGCAAACTCAGCTCCACAGAGCAGAACTACGATGTGGGCAATCGAGAACAATGGGATATCATGACGGAGATCACAGAGGCCCAAGCCACCGATCCACCACCAGACGAAAGCCCACCTAATCTCACTTACGTGCCGCGTGCCCTGCGTCAAAGAGTAATTCAATGGGTTCACTCGACTCCCAGTTCATCCAGGTATCGCCGCCACTGTACAGCTACTCACCAATCGCTTCTGGTGGCCCACTTTACAGACAGAGACTATAGCATACATCCGGGACTGTTCCACATGTAATGTAACCAAACCCTCTCACCAACTACCTGCAGGCCTCTTACAACCTCTACCCATTCCACAAGAATTCTCGTCGCCGGGGCAGGTTAATCCAGTATCTAGTGGACTGGGAGGGGTATGGTCCGGAGAAGCGGTCCTGGGTCAACGCAGAGGACATTCTAGATCCCTCTCTTACCACTGACTTTCATAGGACTCACCCGGATAAACCAGCCCCGAGACCCCGTGGAAGACCCCGGCATCGTCTGCCTCCTCGCGTCAGGAGCCGCTCGCAGGGGGGCTCTGTCACAAATCAAGCCTCTGTGGCTCCCTCCGATCACCACCAGAGGGAACCGTCACCGGAGTACTAACTGTTCTTAAGGACTTCATTTCCCATCACCCCATGCCTGAGACTGATTACCTGCACAGGTGCTTATCATTATCATGACTATTTAAGCAGTGCCTACCTTACCCTCGTTGCGAAGTCTTGTTTTTGCTACTGCTGACATTTCTGAGCGTTTATACCTTGTTTGATTACCTGTTGCCTACCTGGATTGTCTAGACCCATCTGATCGTTCCTTGTTTGATTACCTGTTGCCTACCTGGATTGTCTAGACCCGTCTGATCGTTCGCTGCCTGCCTCTTTGACCTTGCACTGCTATTGGATTTACTCTCTTCTCTGTCTGCCGTCTGCCTCGACCCTTTGCATGGACTCAGGTTATGATTCTGCCTTGCCTACGTTACCCCTGTATACTGTTGATTGAACTTTGCCTGTCTGGTTGTTAATAAAGCTGCACATGGATCCCAACGTCACTGAATCCTCATTACAAGAGCAACATAAAACTGATTATCTTATTGTGCATAATTGTAGATGAACAAAATATGCATAGTCTAACGCACTTGTTTTTTCCTGTGAGGGGTTTAAACTCCCTCTTCTCTTTCACACACTCAAAAAGACCCCAAACTGGAGAGTAGAGACTAATTCAAATGATACCAATGCTGAAAGGATGCTGATGATGCCTCTGTAAGAGGCGAGTGATAAGAAAAAAAGAGAGAAATGAGGATGGAGAGCAGGGAAGAAATGAACACCTGCAGCTGCTGTTGCAGGCTGGTGATCTCAGCAATGCGGAGCTCTCGTGTCTTATTGGTGCTCTCGATCTCGTGCCTCTGAGCCAAGAGACGGAAACGAATGTCCTGCAGTTTACCCTCCAACTGTGACTTCTTATCATTCTAGAGAAGAGCCACAAAGAACAACAGATGTCAAACTATTAAACTCAGCATCAGATTAACTTTGGTTTAATATGTATAAGGGACCACTCAAACAGATTAAAATTCTGTTTGGTGCTGCTGATAGTGCAGAAATCACGAAAGGCAGCTTTAAAATTAGTCTACATGTCTTTTTTAACTGGCTTATTAAAGGGATAGTTCACCCAAAAATGATAATACGTGCAGAGGAAAGTACGCACATGTGTCGTGATACTCTCCAAAATGGCTAGGGTGACGGGGAGAAGAAGAACTGTAGAGTCGTTATTTTTGTTTTCTTTGCGCACAAAAAGTATTCTTGTAACATCGTAAAATTACGGTTGAACCACTGATGCCACATGGACTATTTTAACAGTGTCCTTGCTACGTTTCTGTGCCTTGACCGTGGTAGGACCCTTGCTGTCTATGGAGGATCAGAAAGCTCTCGGATTTTATCAAAAATATCTTAATTTGTGTTCCGAAGATGAACGAAGGTCTTACGGCTTTGGAACGACATGAGGGTGAGTAATTAACGACAGAATTTTCATTTTTGGGTGAACTATCCCTATAATGTGATTACATCTGATGTATGACCAAGCCTATTTAAATCTATTATGGAAGAACACTATATGGAAATTTTATTTTATTTTTTTCAAGCATTGGTCATTTCTGAGATTTTGGACAATTCGGCTTTTTATAAAGTGTTGTGTACTAATGTAAAGAAAATATCAAAAATATACTTTTTTCATTTTTTATTTTATTTTATTGTACTATTATCTATTAACATATGTAGATTTCAATTACAATACTTATTTTAAGGCTGTTTTGTCAAAATGAGTTTTTTCCTAATACACTGAGCCAGAAATCTTTACTTCAATAGCACTGACACGCAGCATCAAACTCTATACCTATCCATATTCTGAAGGTTTTTACAGAGGGGTTTGTTCATGTATCGTTCACCTGATTTTATTCCTAAAAACATGGCTGTATTTTCTGATTTATGTATTGGTGATATAAAGAGATATCCAAAATTCCCTCTGTTAAAACCTGTAACGTATGCAAATTAGTGCATATTTAATTAGATAAACTTGTGTGCATTTTTTTAATCCACGGAGGAAGTATGGTCATATCTACCAGTTAACACTTTTACCCTATTCACCTGGACTGTCTTGACTTAAAACATTAAAGTGCATGGAAATGCATGTACCAGAGCCTCCAGTTCAAACTCGAGCGTTTTCTTGCGTGCTTTGAGCAGGACGATGTTCTCCTGCTCTCTGTTTCTCTGGGTGAGCAGCTCCTGTCTGCGTGTTCTCTCCCATTCTAACTGCCGCTGACGCTCCAGCTCCCGCTTAGCAGCCTTCACACACAACACACACTCAAGAGGTTACAGATGATGCTGATAGTGTTTAACATGCACTGAACTCAAGAGAATTTTTGAACTCACCTCTCTTCTCTCTATCTCCTTGCGTCTCTCCTCCTCCCTCTGTCGCTCCAGCTCTCTCTGTCTCTCCAGTTGTTTGTCCAGCTCCTGCTGTCTGCGTCTCTCCTGCTCCAGTCGTTCTCTCTCCTTCCTCTCTTGCTCCTCTTTCTCCAGCGCCACCAGTCTCTCCTGCTCTTTCCTCTGCTGCTCCAGCAGCGCCTGCCGACGTTTCTCCAGCTCCAGGTTTCCACGCTCAAAGTTCTCTCGTTTCTTATCCTCGAATGTGACTGATGGGAAATACGGAAACAATTTACGGAAAGACAGATTTTTACATTTAAAACAAAGTAGCAACCTTTGGCACTCTTTTACACCTAGCATGTGTTTATGGTGATACACTTGACCACATTAAAAGCCACATGTAAATACACACAAACAGTGATTGTATTGAGATCACTGAAACCAGTTTCAGAAGTTGTCAGAACAGGTTCTGACCACATTCAATGAAAATGTTAATGCATTTTGTTAACTAGGTTGCTCTACACATAAAACATTAACTGTCATTTTGACAGGCTGGGCTGTAAATTTTCTATCATGCCCTACCTTTATGTCATCTTGTGATCTGGTCAAATAAAAGAACAATATCTCATGAATTATTCCACTGAACAACACTTGCAATTTCTCATTTTGTCTCCCCAGACCTTCACTCATATCTCTCTCAGGATGCTTTATTTTGAGAGGGGAGCGTTAAAACTTCTTTTACCCATTTTATACAATTATATATTGTATTATATACAATGGCCATGTTTCTAAAGGTAAAACTAACCAGAAACTAGGGATGGGTCACGATTTTCGAATATTCGATTAGTTGATTTAATTATAGAATATCGAATAGGTTGTGTGATTATTGTCTTTAAAAAAATCTCCCCATGTTTTCCGTGCTGATGCGGTGGTGACACATGCATGTAAGCAGAGGGTGGTGCTGCCAATAACGCACCTAAAAGCTGCTGTCAAAGACAACAGGAGAACACATTGTCTCATCCGCACACTGTAGACTTGCGTGGCATAAAAAAAGACTTGCATAGCATATAACGGTTACAGTAACTTGGGACGATGTCAAATAAGAGTTCTGTGTGGACCACAAACTCCCCCAACTGGGTTAGAGGTGTGGCTGAATCCGTATTCAGAAAGGCGCGGTAAACAAATAACGCGTTCTACGGAGCCACTAAAGGGACATGGTTAGCCGCTTGCTAACGGTAGCCTGTTACATTACAGTACATAACATTTCACTTACCACAAAAACAGAGTAAGGAGAGATGACTGATAGGATGATGGCGAATGATTTGCAGATCCTGAGCACCACTGACAAACATCTAATCTTGTAAAATGTGTGGTAAGTAACGTTACTGCCGAGTGCTGCTCCGTACGTACGTGATCGCAAATCTCGAAAATGAAAGTAAAAAAGCGCACGTTCAAAAGCGATTTAAATGCCCCGCATATTAATAACGGCTCCCTGATGCCAGCAGTTTATATACAGTATGATTACCCAACGATATAATTGCGACAAGATATTGAAGTATATTTTTCCTCCCATCTCGTATCTATTTCCTTTAGGGGTTCCATTTTTTGAAATGGAAATGTCCTAGCCGTAGGAGCAGTTCATTTATGCTAATTGACGGACTGTTATGTTAATAAGTGCCGTCATTCGGTTGTGTTTATTATATTAATATGTTTCAGCACGTTACAATCATTATATGGCTTGAGTTAAGGTAGCCTATCTTCTGAATTAAACAGTTTATCATACAGATTGAAAGTGTGAATCCCGTCTCTCTCCCTCTCTCTCAGTTTATGGGTGTTTGTGCGTACATGCGGGAGAGGGGTGCGATTTTCGAATAATAATCGAATAATACCCTGCTATTTTCAAATATTATTTTTGCTTGGAATGCCCATCCCTACCAGAAACCTGGTATTCTATAAGCCAAAATGAGGGAAGGCACTTTGAATTAGCCATTAATGTTTTTAAAAATCAGTAAACGGCGGAACATTTACAATTAATGTAGCCTAATATGTAAGCGATGGTTTCCATTTTATATGGGCAAGTGGTATCAGATCTCACAACGAATTGCACTGCAAGACGTAAATGCAAGTTAAAGAGCTAAATCCAGTTAAAGGGGTCATATGATGTTGCTAAAAAGAACATTATTTTGTGTACCCAAAAAACTTGCGTTTGAATCGTCAGTGGCAAATTCGTTAAATATAAAAAAAACGTACTTACAGTCTGTGAGTCAGAACAGCCGGCATTGTAGTCTACTCTA